TTCTATAATAATTTTATTTTGGAAAGCTGATTTTGTTAATATGCTGTCAAAATCGTATCTAAAAAATATTTTATTTTTTACATTCGATTAAAATACAATTACATTTATATATATAATATATGTTATATATAAGACATTTTATTTTTTACATATTATTATAGTATGTAATACATAATAATGTATACGTACATAATGTATGTATTTAAAGTTTATAGTAGTTTTATTTTATGACATAAAATATTATATATATATATATATATATATATATATATATATATATAAATAATATATATATAAAATATATATATATATATATATATATAATAATAATATAGATTGCACATAAATTGTTAATTTATGTGTAATATATATATATATATATATATATATATATATATATATATATATATATATATATATATATATATATATATATATATATATATATATATATATATATATATATAATAATAATAATAATAATATAGATTGCACATAAATCATTAATTTATGTGCAATAATATATATATATATATATATATATATATATATATATATATATATATATATATATATATATATATATATATATATATATATATATATATATATATATATATATATATATATAATATAGATTGTATATATATTTATACTATATATATATTTATATATATAGACTGACCTTTATGCAGGCTGACCAGATTTTTTGGGAGAAAAAAAGAGTATACTTCATGAACCCAGTTTTAAGTCAAACACTTTCTAGTTTTTTCATGTCAATCACAAAAATATTTCTTTGGTATTTATGTTAACACTTAAAAAAAGTTTGAAATGCAGCTAAATCTGTGTATAGTCAATATATTTTTCAACATAAGTTACAATATTTGATACACAAAATTAGTTTTGAGATATTCGATATCTCATTGTTTCATATTGTATATATACGATATCATATTGTAGTGATAATTTGCTGAATTTTCTCCAAAAAAATTAGGTTTTCCATAAAGTTCCTAAAAAAGAGTATATTCAGTGACTTTAAAAAAAAAGAGAGAGTATCAAATATTTTACCTCAAAAAGAGTACAACACTGTAAAAAAGAGTATGTCTGATCAGTCTATAATATGGTGTGTTTTGTGTATGATATTTATTATTATTCATATTACATTTTAAAAATGGTGTCACTTCTTTGATCAGATATCTGTATCACACCTTCTATATTATTAATAATGTTATTAATATTTTTGAATTAATTTATTTTTGTTAATATTGCTACAAATTATTATTTATTATTTTATAAATGTTATTGTTATTATTATTTACCTTATTGTAAAAACTGTTATGGAGAATTGCAAATGGAGAATAATTATAAACAGAACTTATGAATAAGCTCAATCTTAAATTCAAATTAAAATAATTTAAACTTTTAGTTTAAAATGACCTATTGGACCAAAAGATGAAAGATATGCGCTAATGTAGAACAATGTTTAGAAGCGTTGGAAGAATCGTGTGAATCAGCTAGTGATTCTGTTGGTGTTTATTTAGGTTATGCAATCTCTGAAAATAAAACTTCTACAAGTAGCACAACTAATAAAAGTATTTATTAGTTGTGCTACTTGTAGAAGTTTTAAACTAATAAAACTTAGATATAATTTCTGCTGAAGATCTTTCATCCACTAATGTGCAGACAACTCTAAACATTGTTAATTACGATAAAAATGAAATAAAATCTCAATATAGTTCTGATTCGCATGGCATTCAGGGAAGTATAGTTAACTCAGCTAGCTTTGAAGATTATGAGGATGAATCTTGGAAAATCAGTGAATTTAAGTACGATTTGCAAAAATGGGTTGTAGAGTTTCAGATAACAA